TAAAGAAAACAAAAATCCTTACCACGGACCAGTAAATAACATCACGATAAATGGAGAAAAGATTGAATTTGTCAAAGTCTTCATTTTATTTGGATCCCCTATCAACACTCAATGGAAACAGTAGTGAAGAAATCAAATGACATACTGCGTTAGGCAAGTCTGCTGCAGAAGCCCTTTGTAAAGTGTTCAAGAGCAAAGATGTCAGTCTGAGGACTAAAGTGCACCTGGCCCATTAGAGAAGAATATTAAAGGTACCATGGACCACCAGAAGAACAAACAAATTTGTGTTGGAAAAAGTACAACCAGAATACTCTTTAGAAGCCAGGGTGGCCAGACTTCATCTCTCATATTTTAAACATATTGTCAGGACGGACCAGTCCCTGGAGAAGGAAATCATGTGTGTTAAAGTGGAGGGTCAGTGAAAAAGCTGAAGACCCCCAATGAGATGGATTGGCATAGTGGCAGCAGCAATGGACTCAAGCTTAACAACGCTTTTTAGGATGGCTCAGGACCAGGCAGTGTTTCGTTCTGTTGTGCACAAGATTGCTGAGTTGGAACCGACGCGATGACACCTAACAACATAATGAAACAAATTAGAGATCATTTTAGAAAAAGTATTTTGCCTAGCAACAAACACTCACAATTGAAAGTATTCTGGCAAGGATTTTTTTCTTTTTCTTTTTTTCTTGAAAATAAGAAGAAATGATAGGAAAGAGTCTTGGAAACACTATACAGGGTCGCTGTGAGTCAGAACTGACCCGACGGCACACAACTACCACTATCTATCTGTTGCTGTTATTAAGTGTAATTGAGTCAGTTCTGACTCATAGCGGCCCTGGATAGGGTTTCTGAGTCTTTTACATCTTTGAGAGAGCAGAAAGTCTCATCTTCCTTCCACGGAGCGGCTGCTGGGCTCAAACTGCAGATCTTGTGCCTCACAGTACAGTGTTTTATCGTCTGGAGCCACTGTGCTCCCTATGATAATGTATGTAGACTGTCGTTGTTAGGTGACATTGAGTTGGTTCCGATCCTATGCACAACCAAGCAGAACATTGCCCAATTCAACAATCTCTATGTGTATAGTTCAGTGACTGATTACACTCTGCAAGTTGTACCACCATGTTGGAATTGTTCCTCCTTCATTACCACAAAGTCACTATCTCCTAAATTTCCTATCTAATCTCCCCAAGCTATTGTCAATTTGATCCCAGATGGAGCGTTCTTAAAAAACAAATGCTCCAGGCAGATATTCTATACTAATTAAGCTGGTGTTGTAGGGTAAGAACAGGACTACTAAATGCACAAGGTCAGTAGTTCAAATGTAGGTGCAGCTCCTCAGAGACCCTATATTGTTATTGTTGTTAAGTGCTATGGAGCGGGTTTCTACCCATAGCAACTCTGTATAGGGTTTCCCAGGAGCAACTGGTGAGCTTGAACTGCCGACCTTGCTGTTCAAACTGATTTTGCAGTCCAGCACCTTAACCCACAGTGCCACACCAGAACTCCTGGGAAACCCTACATAGGGTTGATATGAGTAGGAACCGACTAGAGGGCACATAACAACAACAACAACAACGTTTAGTTTAAAGGAAACTTTAGGGGATAATTTTGGTTTAAAGTTTAAAGCTGTTAATGTCATTAATTGTGGGATCTCTACCTGTGTTCAGTGAATTTTAGCCTGAAAAGGAGCTCTGGTAGCTTTGTGGTTACAAATCGGGCTGCTAATCTCACGGTCAGCAGTCCGAAACTACCAGCGATTCCGCAGGACAAAGATGAGGTTTTCTGATCCGGTAAAGATTTACAGCCTTGGAAACTCTGTAGAGGGTTGCTATGAGTCGGAACCAACTCTATGGCACATAACAACAACAACAACAAATATGTACAGCCTCAGAAATCCTATACGGGGTGGCTGTGAGTCAAAACTGACTCCTGGGCAGTTAACCCCCACCACCATAGGCTTTCAGAATCACATTCACCTGGATACCACTCCCCTAGTTTGCATTTCCACAATGATGTATTGAAAACATTAACATATTTATTTTTAAAAAGTTTAAACATTTAGACCATGTCTTTTGGTGAAAAAATTGCCTAATAACTGTTGTTGGATTCATGAAAGCGTAGGAAACTCGCTTTTTTCTGGAGTGTGCTTGAGTGTAACATTGGGAATCAGTCTTTCAGATGTGTCATTTAGTAACAATTACTGCACCTCTCTAAAGATGTTGTGGTTGCTAAGTGCTATCTAATCAGTTACCATAAATAGCACCCCTGTACAGGGTTTTTGAGGAACGGTTCTTGGGTTTGAACCACCGTCCTTGTGGTTAACCAGTCCAGTGCTTATCCTACAGCCCTGCACTGGGACTCCTCTCTAAAAATAAGATTCCTAATTTTTAAACTGAACATAATAATGCCTCAGAGTATCTTTGTGAGAACAAATTAATCTAAACAAAGTGGCTTTGCTGTTGTTAGATGCTGTTGAGTGCAATGACTCATAGTTATCCGATTTGCAACAGAACAAAACACTGTCTAGTCCGCTACCATCCTCACAACTGTTGTATTGGAGCTCAGTGCTGCAGGCACGATGTCAATTTGGGGTCTTCCTCTTTTTTGCTGACCCTTAACTTTACCAATCATGCTGCCCTTTTACAGGAACTGGTCACTTTGAGTTCAGTCTCCATTTAAATTCTTTCTGACCACTAACCAAGCAATGTGGTAGGTTTGCCCTCAGACACAGTGTGTTTGAAAGTAGATTACTGATCTTTAGTCAGCCTAGAAGGGCCAGTTTGCCTTTGGAGAACTTGCCTGGTCATGACATGTAAAGTTGGGGGTTCTGGTGACTAGGCTCAGGGCTCCACCGTCCATCACCAAGCAGCAAGGTGGTCAAAGGGCCCCAGGACCAACCCGGTAAATGTTTTAAATCTGCAACTGTTTTCTTTTCCCAATCATGGTCCTTTCCCTGTCTCCTCCCCTTCTGTAATCCATCTGTGACAGTGATGAATTGATCAGTCACCAATCATGATTTTGTGAAGATTATCTTTTTTATATTGTCTAAAAATAGCCATATGGCTGTGAATACTTAGGACATCATGCTGAGGATCTTCCTCATCTGAATGATTTGTCTTTGTCTTGTTTTTGCCCTGTTTAAGGCTTAATAAAGGGATCTCTGTAGAATACATTTGAATTGGGGGTCTGTTTACCCCTAGCACATACCTATAATTGAGAAATTAATGCCTTTCAAGATAGTAATTGTTATAATAAAAGGCTTCTAGCTTACCTATTGTAAGTGTACACAGAACTTATATACTGTACATGCAAAAGCAATTTCAAACTGTTAAAGTCAACACACAGATCCTATATTCCTTTACTACCAATGGTGGTGGTGGTTGGTGGCTGTAACTCTTTACGGTAGCAGAAAGCCTCATCTTTCTCCCGCGAACAGCTGGTAGTTTCGAACTGCTGACCCTGAGGTTAGCAGCCCGATTCGTAACCACTACGCTACCAATACAGACTTTGTATTCCTTTACTACCAGCATCACTTTGCCTTCATGCAGACCAGACTCTGACTCTGCATGTGACAGAATATTTGGTATTAGTGAAAATTCTTTCCATACTCTTCATTTGAGGTATACAATGCAATCATGGTAGTGGTGGTGATGTGCCGTGGAGTTGGTTCTGACTCAGAGCAACTCTGCATAGGGTTTCTGAGGCTTTAAATCTTTACAGAAGCAGAAAGCCTCATCTTTCTCCCGCAAAACAGCTGGTGGTTTTGAACTACTGACCTTAAGGTTAGCAGTCTGACTCGTAGCCACTACACTACCAGAGATCCTACACAATGCCATCATAGCCCTATTTTAAGAAGCAGTTTTAAGACCACAACTTTGAAGCTAGGATGAACTTAGTTTGATTTTTACTTTTTGCACACATTATCTACTTGGTTTGGACAAGTTACCTCATCACCACGAACTTGATTCTTAACACTGAGTTGTTTTTTTTTTACCACTGCTTGAGAATAAAACAAGGTAATGAAGTATCTGAAACATCTGTAATGCAGCAGGCATAATGTGGTAGCCAAAATTATTTTTCTTTTGCAAGGGATGAAATTGAGGAGTAAGTACATCAGGTAGTGAATTACAGGACAGGATCTGGATCCCTGATTGTGTCGAATTTCCAGACAGGCATGCTTTGTGGATTACAGCAAAAGTTAGTAGCTTTCCAGTGATGCCTGAAATGGAGCCAGAGATGATGATGTGGAGCTATGGAGCAGCTGGAGACTCTAGACCCAGAGAGGGAGAGCGACTGTGTGCTGAAGACCTGGGGGGCATGGGGAAGGATTGCATGGAGGGGATTATAACCATGGCAATGAGACGATATACGATAGAATGAATGTAAAACTAATGTTCTCCCATGTATACTATGTATGTTGTTGTTGTTGTTGTTAAGTGCCATCGAGTCGGTTCCGACCCATAGCCACCCTGTACAGGGTTTCCGAGGGTGTAAATCTTTACGGGAGTAGAAAGCCTCATCTTTCTCCCCCGGAGCGCCTGGTAGTTTCGAAACGCTGACCTTAAGGTTCGTAGCCCGATTCGTAACCACTACGCTACCAGAGCTCCTATACTATGTATACTATCACTTAATTCACAATAAATCATTTTTTTAAAAAAAGTTAGTAGCTTTCTTTAGTGAAAGGAATTTTTAATTTCTCCATGAGCTGCAAGAACAACTATATTCTCACTAGTCCAGTACTAAGCTACCTTGGAATTACTTTTATTCTCTCTGGCAATCTGCATGGAAGGTATAAAGAAAATACCTTTACTTGTCTAATAACCTTCTGGTGTGTCCCCAGCAGTCTTTGTAGGTGAAAGAAGCTAAGCTCTTCTAACTCAACCTCCAACCAACACCAACAGCTCTAAACAGGAGTCCCGCCCAGATGTTTATATTTACCTCCCTTGGTTCCGCCCCCCGACCATGCGAGGCTATGACACGCCCCTAAGCTCTAGCTTCAGTAACCCAGCAACTCAGCCAGCCCACAGGGATCCCCTCTCCAGCCAATCGCATCTGAGAAATGGCTCTGCCCCTAACAATGATGGCGCGAGAGGGCGCTGTGAGGGCAGGCTGAACTGAACGCCCGAACCCGTGTCGGACAGCGAAGACAGTGGTAGCGGCGCGGCCCCAACCATGGAGGAAGGCGGCATCGCTGGCAGCGGTGCCAGCGACAGCAGCTCCAGCGGAAGTGGCGGGGCGCAGCAAAGGGAACTGGAACGCATGGCTGAGGTCCTGGTTACCGGGGAGCAGCTGCGGTAAGAGGGCAGAGCTGGTGGGCTCGCGGCGACACTGCCAGCCCGTGTCCACAGCGGTCCCTCGCTCACGAGCCCTGGAGCTCGCCCCTGGCAACTGGCGCGGGGCTCCGGGGAGACGGCGAGCGCGTGGATGGTCCGCGCGGCGCCCTCGCCCTACGGCTGCGGCCCCGCGCTCTGCCAATGCGCGACTGGAGCGGGGCTCCCGGGCGGCCGCGGGCGCGCGAGTGGTGCGCGTGGTGCGCGCTGCGCCTCTGCCTTGCTGCTGCAGCACCGCGCCCCTGCTGCCGCGTGCGCTCCTGCAAGCCAGTCCTGGGGCGCTGCAGGGCCTCAGGGTTCGCAGCTTGTCCTGGAAGGGTCGGTGTGGAGCCTCTTTACTGCTAGACACAAAGATGCAGCCAAGTGATCGTCTTCACTTAGGGTTTCCTGTATACTGGCAAGCTTTACTTCACTCCTCCGATTCCTAAACTCTTTGATTTGTAAAATGTGCATGACCACACTGTCACCCTCGAAGGGTTGTTGGTGCTAAACCGAGGGAACATTTCTGCAACATTGTCCCTGTCACTCACTTGGCACACAGTCATCAATCATAATTTGGGTCCGCAAGGGGGCGTGGAGGCACATTGTTGGACAGCCCCGCCGCGGTGGCAAGTCGGCCAGCGTGCAGGTTTTGGGCAGCTTAATCCGTTGGCCCAGTAGACAGCAAGAATCAAAGACTTGCAATGTCTCAGGGGCCCGGGAACCAGGCAGTGTCCTGCGGAGTCCCCCTCGTCATTCCCATCTATTCTTAGTTCTTCTTCTTGGGTTTTTGTTTAAGCATTGATCTGACCGGTTCCGCATGTGTTCATAACTCAGTTTGGCTGGAAAAAACAAACCTGACTGAGCTGCTTTGGGGCCAGGATTTGCACGCCGGCCCCCGGGCCCTACCTGAATATCCGCCGGTTGCTTCTAGTTCTTGACCTGAATCACCTCGTTCATTTTGCTTTCTAAATGTGTTTCAGAACCTAAGGGAAAGAGAAACTTGTAAGGTCCCCATCTCGCTTGGCAGTAGTTAGACTGAGGAAGTAAATATCGAAGTTGGAATTAATTGAGGTTAACATTACAAAGGGCACATTGCCATGTTTCTATTCCCTAATTCATTTTAAAACAAGATCTGTTTTAAAGAGAATTAACAAACAAAACAAACACATTTTTTTCATCAAGAGTGTTCTCTAATTTAAAAAAATGAAGCTTTTCTGATTTAATCTCAAACACCTTTTAAAAATGTAACTATTTTTTGGGGAAATATACACAGCAAAGGAGTCTTCACCTTGTGTTAACCAACTCACCAACTACTCCTCCGAAACCTTATACAGGGTCGCTATGAGTCGGAACAGACTCGATGGCACTTAACAACAACTTCAGCGGTGTCATTAGGATGGTAGGGAGGGTGTTAGTGCCCCCCAATGACACTGCCAGAGAAGGGGACACCAAAAAGACTGATAATTAAATTTTTGTGCAGCGTTTCAGCAGAAATTTATTGTTTATTAAAATCGTCCTGTAGTTAGTTATAACAACAAAAACATTTTTCATGAGACCGGCTAATAGTATCACTACAACTACAAGGCTAACATAACATACTAACATAACTTTCTGAACCTTCTAATGCACGTAGGCCAGAGCTCCCATTATTATCTAATTACAGTGACCTTAGAATGAGGTTTCGTCTGCATACCACAAGCACACACTGTTGTCAGTGCTGCTGGTGTTTTTATAGTCATTGATCTTTGTCGATTTTTTTGAGGTTTTAGCTGCAATATTGTGGTAAATAGTCTTTGTGAACCGATGTCAGTAAGTTTTTTGAGCATGAAGTAGTAATTAAAGGAAAAGGAGAACAAATTAGAAAGGCTTCCACTAAGTTGTTACTAATGTAACAATACAATTCAGTGTAGATTTAATTTTATAAAACAATTTTACTAGTATTCATATCACTTTTTAAAAATCTAAAAAATGATTAAGCAATTTATAATTCTGGGTGTCCTTACCTGAAGAATGGGAATAATAATGTTGTTAAGTGCTTTTGAGTCGGTTTCAACTCATAGTGACCCTGTATAGGTTTGAGCCACCAACCTTGCAGTTCAAAGGGACCCGGTGGTCCAGTATTTATCTTACAGCGCCTCACCAGGACTCCAAGATAATAGCCTCTAATAAAAGATTTTTTGGTGTTAGATCAAACAGAGGGAAGCAGGGGAAGAAATTTATAAAATAAATCAATAAACCAAGATTAGTTGTTGTTACAATATAAGACGCCCTAGTGGTGTAGTTGGGCTGATGACCAAAGGTTGGTGATTCAAACCCAGCAGGCAGCTCTACAGGAGAAAAGACCTACTGATATGTTCTCTGAATGATCATCGCTTAGAAAACTGTATGGGACAATTTTGCTCTGTCAACTAGAGTCCCTTTGAGTAGAAACTGACTCTACGGCACCTAACAACAACAACAATGCAATGTTGCACGTGTTTGTATATTCCCAAGTCCGTTCCTACTCACAGTGACCCTGTATAGGGTATCAGACTGTAAATCTTTACAGGAGCAGAATGCCTTATCTTTTTCCCATGGAGAAACTGGTAGATTCGAACTACTGACCTTTTGGTTAACAGCCCAGCTCATAATCCACTAAGCTACCAGGGCTCCTTAACAACTACAACAACAATATGATTGTTACAAACTCAAATTGTGAGCTGGCTACAGAATCCTGACACTTTTGTCAGGGTGGTTGGTTGCTTAAGGACAAGACACTGGATAATAAAGCTAAAAGCATCCCCTGCTTCCTTTTCCAGCTGGACTGTAGGACAGTTTCTTAAATCCCTTCATGTCTTTCCCTTGCTAGAAAGATTTTACTTTCTTGGCCAATGTATTTTCAAGGGTTTGTCTTTTGCCATTTGGGTAACATTTTTAATGCCTTATGGAAAACAGCCTGACAGGTTATGAAAATGTTAAATATAGAGTTACAATTTGACCCGGAAATTTCACTCATACATAGGTTTACATTCAAGATAAATGAAAATATACGTTCGCAAAATAACTTGTATATGATTCTTAGTAGAACCATTCATAATACCCTAAAGTAGACACAGTACACATTTCCATCAGCTGATGAACAAATAAACAAAATGTGGTAACATGGAATAAAAGAATTATATGTTAGAGCATCACAAAGGACAACATATTATGTGGTTCCATTTTTTAAAAAAAAGTAGTTCAGAATAGGCAGATTCTTACACACAGGAATTGTATTTGTGGTTCCCAGGAATTGGGGGTGAGGAGCCCTAGAAGTACAGTATCGGCCAATAAACTACGAAAAGTCAACAGCTTGAACCCATCAGCTATTCCATGGGAGAAGCTTTAGGAAACCTCGTCAGTAGTTCTAAGGATTTCTGATAGCGTAGTGGGTTATGAACTGGACTGGGAACTGCAAGGTCAGCAGTTTGAATCTACCAGCATGCTCCTCAGGAGAAAGATGAGGCATTCTGGTCCTGTAAAGATTTACAGCCTTGGAAACCTATACAGGGTTGCTATGAGTCAGAACCGCCTCGCCGGCACACAACCACCCTCACATTGACGTAGTTCTACCCTGTCCTATCGGCTTGCGGTGAGTTTTAATCAAGTCCACAGCTGGGGGAGGAGCACATTGGAGGTGACTGCTAATGGCTATGTTGTTGTTGTTAAGTGAAGTCGAGTTGATACTGACTCATAGCGACTCTTTATGGGGTTTTTGAGAAGCCCTGGGTGAGCGAGAACCACCGACTTTGAAGTTCAAAGTGACCTTGTGGTCCAGCTCATTAACCCATAGCGCCACACCAGGGTTATAGGATAGTGGTTTTAAAATTGGTTGGAATGATTGCACAACCCTGTAGTTATAATAAAAACCTCTGTACATATTAAAGAAGGAGTCCTCATGGCACGGTGGGTTAGGTGTTGGGCTGCTGATTGCAAGGTTGACAGTTCAAACCCACCAGTTGCTCAGCGGGAGAAAGATGAGAATATCATCTCCTGTAAAGATTTACTGTCTGAGAAATCCTCTGTGGTCTCACTGTGAGTTGGAGTCTGCTTGATGACAGTGCATGTGGGTTTAACATAGATTGTATGGCAAGTGAATTACATCCAGGCTGATTCAGTTCAGTTTACACTGATGTGAATTTACATTGCCACCCATAATAATCACCTGGGGAAATGTAGATTCTGATTTAATATATCTGACCTTCATCAGTAAGAACTTAAAGTCCTCTTGGTTTCATGCACACAAGATTGTGTGCTATGCAGGTTATTAATGAGCCTTCCTCCAATCCTGATGTCACTTATTTCACGTAGTCCAGCTTCTGAGATTATTTGCTCAGCATACAGGTTGAATAGTAGTAGTAGCTAAGCATGGTTGGGTCAGTTCCAACTCATAGCGACCCCATATAGATTTTCCAAGGAGCAGCTGCTGGGTTTGAACCACTGCCCTTGTGGATAGCAGTCAGTGCTAGTCCTACAGCACCAAACCAGTATTCCACAGATTGCACTGTTGTTGTTGTTGTTGTTGTTGTTGTTAGGTGCCATCGAGTCGGTACCGACTCATAACGACCTTATGCACAGCAGAATGAAACACTGCCTGACCCTGGGCCAACCTCACTACTGTTGCCACACTTGAGTCCATCAATGCTGCCACTTGGGTAATCCATCTCATTGAGGGGTCTTCCTCTTTTTCTCTGACCCTACATCTTACCAAACATGATATCCTTTTCCAGCGACTGCGCCCTCCTAACAATATGTCTGAAGTATGAGAGACGAAGTTTGGCCATCTTGGCCTCCAAGGAGCACTCTGGCTACACTTCTTCCAAAATGGATCTATTGGTTCTTTTGGCAGCCCATGGCACTTTCAGTATTCTCCTCCAACACAGATTGAATATGTCTGGTGAAAAGATAGAACCCTGGTGCCCACCTTTCCTGATGTTAACCATTCAGTTCAAAAGAGTGCCTCC